TTGCAGGTGATTTGCAAAAAAAAAAGGCAGGTTGGAAATATAAAAAAAAAGGTTGGGGTCGGTCTCTTTGCAAAAAGGTGTTTTTGCAAAACAAATAAATGGGTGCAATGCTACATTGGAGGGTCGCTCCTGATCGCCTCTCGTTCTTCCTTGATGATGATGCCTTTGGTTATCTTGGGGGGGGGGCGGCTGCCCGCCTCGTATGGCCGACCTCCCCGGGGTTGGCTCCGGATTCGGACGTGCCTCGTCTCGCTCGGAGCCCGGCGGGTCTGAAAGGCGGCTTCTCCCGCAGCCTGGCTTGCCTGCGTCTTCGGGGGGGGGAGGAGAAGAGGTTGCATAAGGCTGCCCCTATTGCAGTGGGGAGCTCCTTCCTCCTCCGGTGACCCCTGAGGGGTGTGGGGGGGTCTCTGCGGGTCGTGGGGCAAACGCGATTCCCAGCTGCCAGCCCTGGGCCCACCGAAGTGGGAGCAAACCCCCCACCCCGTGGAGCTCGGTGGGATTTCCTTCCAACTTGTCCAGGGTGTGAACGGGCACCCTTTGCAACGATGCAACATAACGTGTGTGTGTGTGTGTGCATGCACACGAACCATATTGTGGTCAATCAGCAGGGTCGCATTTCTTCTGTCGTAAGGGATCATTTAATAGCCTATTGTTCAAGAAGGCGACACAGGCTTTCCGATCTCCCAGTCCGCGATGTTGATCTGGTGCATGCCTTAATTCGATGTAAAACATGCATTGCTTCCTAATGATGTAATGGGTTGTGATCGATATTGGTGCTTAGCGTTGCATTCACGTGTAACAGTTGTGTCGTTATCTGTTTCTCTTAACGGCATTAGTGTCATAATGTTTCATTAATGTGTTTAGCGGGTGGTTTATTAAGAATATGAGGCTGCATTAATCCTGGGGTATTACAGCGGTATGTGTGGCATGGTAGCAATACACTATAATAATACATCACGAATGGTCTGTTAAGTAAGACCGGTGTTGAGAACTGCATTATTCAGTGACTACGGTATACAATCCTCTGGTCTTCTAAAACCGTGCAACGTTTCTGCTCCTCATCTTACAGAATGTCAGAACCATCGTTTTGCTCTTTAATCATGTCAGTTAATATTCTGCTAGGGGCAACTTTTTCCTTCTGTACCTCCACCGGCTGTAAATCTTCAGGGATGGGGTATTTGGGTCCCTAACTTAATTCACCTCCTCTTTCCAACCTTGCAACGACTCCACAACCTTGCTTTTTTAAATGGAGCACCCCACTCTCTCCCTGTTTAGCTTTTTAATGTATCTTTTGGGATCGTGAAAACGGCAGAGCCACCACCGTTCCATAATCCGGCAATGCCTGTGTCCAGGGCAGGACTCTACCTTCTATTTGAGTGTTTACAAATAGACATGATTATTAGGGTGCCCCTGTTTAATTTTCTCCCTTTCCCACTGTTTCACTCCCTGTCCGTTCAGGAGGCCTCTTCTGATGCATCCTTCCCCAATCCGGGTACCGTGTCCCTCAAATGGCCACCCCTTCGTCCATCTTTCCCGAACTACCCTCCCCACCCATGACAGCTAATGTTTTCACATGATTTGCTCCTCTTGCTTTCCCTCCGTCTTGTCCCGTTTCATGCAGGAGCGCTCGGTGAACTTGCACCTTCTCTGCCCGGATGCTCCAGACAATCTGCCCCCCCTCCATAATAAAAAGAGGGAGGGTCTTACCAGCCCTCCTCTTTCTCCTCCACTTTGGTTTCTTTGCCCGTGCAGCACCGAGCACCCTCCAGATGTGTGGGACAACAGCTCCCATCAGCCTCAGCCCAGAAGGAAGGATGGGAGTTGAGGCTCCAGACCTCTGAAGTACAAAGGGTAGCTCTAGACCATAAATCACTCTCTGCAAAGCATGTTTTTTTAATAGTTGCTTTATTTCCCATTTCTCGCTTAAGGGAATTGTTCTTTTCCCCATAAACTTGGCTTGGCAGCATTGAACAACCTTTCCCCCAACTAGAGGGGGTGTGTGGGGAGGGGGAGGGAGATTCCTCCCTCATCATCCTGACCTTAAAGGAATAAATCACCCGTACAGCGTGGGCCTTCATGATATGGTAATACAGCCTTTACCGCAATGCCCTTATAGGCAAGGAGGAAGCGGCCTGCTTTCTCCTTGCCATTTTTTAAAAAAAAATTAATCGCTGGTACCCCATCTGATCCACTGCTGGGGTGAAACCCATCTCCTCCACTCTCCTCCCGTCCATGTGGCCTGGACGCCGCTGGTCCTCCCCTACATGTCTGCCCATACATTAATCTCCTTTCCCCCCTATAGAGGATTTAACTCGTCCTAATCCTGTCCCCCAAATGAGGTACCCTCTTGTGTCCGGATCATGGGGCAAAAGGGGGCGGCAACTGCCTCCTTGGGGTTTTCTTATCCCTTCTGGTTTAAACAGGTAGCGCTGCGTATATTAAGAGCAGATGGCCGAAGCCTCTGTGTGTGTGTGTCCTTTCTGGAAGGTGACAGGAATACGTCCCTAAGTATAAAGCAGGGGTGGGGGAGAGAGCAGACGGTGCTGCTGCGGTCCACAGCGGAGAGATGCTATTAAGGAGAGGACCAGGAGGTAATGTTTTCATGGCACCTGCGTGAACTTTTCTCCTCCTTTATTTCGTACTCTGTGTTTTACTCCAACACAGACTTTTTTTTTTAAAAAAAAAACCCTCTTCTTCTCCCCCCCCCCGTCCACCAAGAGGAAAAAAAATCCCTCTGCTTTTCCTGGCTCTGTTGTGTAGGACATAGTAGTGACCCATTTGACAGCTTGACTCCAGACAGATTCTCCAACCCGCTCCCCCTCCCCACCCTTTCTCAAGCAAGAGCTTTAAGCCCTTCTCGGCCATAGAGGGTGGAGGAGCTGGTGATGATGATGATGATGCTTAGGAGTGTGTCTCCCTCCCACTCTCTGATGGAAATGGAGGGCTGGTTCTGCTGTGTGTCCCCCGTGAGCTACTTTGGGCTCCGAATAGGGGTGAGCAGAGAAGATGGGGGGGCCCTGGGGTTACACAGCTGCTGCTTTCGGGCACCCCAGTGGTGCCGCAGTGGGTCAGGCACCGTTGCGTATACAGACACACACTTTGTTGTTCTGTTATGTAAATCCTTCCTCATTTCTCCCCACCTCGTTTCTTTTAAATCCCAGCCCTTTTCCCTTGCCCCCCTTGGAGGAAAAGGTTAAACCTCGCCATTGCCAGAAGCCTCATGCCCTCGCTCTTCCCCCTCGCCTCTTTCAAACGCTGCTTGGAAGTGGTTTTCCCTGGCTTTGCCCGCTTCCTCACAGGGGTGACATTTTAGGGGGTGGAAATTGCTTTTTAGCTCGCCAGCTATGAATAGATGCGAGAAATCAGACACTGCATTGATTCCCCGGGAACCTTCCTCCTTGCTGATTTCACCAGAAATGCTGTGGGGAGAGGAGGAAGGTCCCATTGTGGGGTTTAGGATTTGCAAAATGGTTCTTTGAAGCCCAGGCTTCCAAACTCGTTATCTTAACGTATATTTGGTCCCCCCCCCCCAAGATGGCCCAGGTAACGTTAGGTTGTCCATCAGTAATCTGTGCAGAAGGGAGCGAACCTTTCTGTCACCGGTAGAAGTGATTCATTTTCGTCCCAGGGAAGCAAGATTTTTTTTCCTTATGTCCTTCAAAATGAGTTGTCTAGCTCAGCGGGGTGGATAGCGGCAGCGAGGAAGAAACGCTTGGCTGCAAAGTCAGGGGTCGGAAGTTTAATGCTTCCCAGTATGGCCCTGGGCAAACTCCATTATCTCGGAGTGCCCCCTGAAGAAGGGAACGGTAAACAACTTTGGAAGATCTTATATCAAGAAAACCCTGGGAAAGGGTTGCAATTAAATTAAAATTGACACAGGGGGGCCCTTGATTATTAGTCGGTAGCAACAAAACCAGTAACAAGTCTCGTGGTCATTTATAAGGCCATCCCATGTCCGAGGGCACCAGGCTTCTCGTCTGACGAAGTGGACTGTAGTCCATGAGCCTTTATGCTGTAAGATAGTGGTTCCCCAACCTTGGGCCTCCAGATGTTCTTGGATTTCAACTCCCAGAAATCCTAGCCAGCAGCAGTGATGGTGAAGGCTTCTGGGAGTTGTAGTCCAAGAATATCTGGAGGCCCAAGGTTGGGGACCACTGAATGCATTGAGATGCCACATGGTTGTTGATCCCTGTTCTACATCGGTGGGTCTGTGTAGCACAGCCAAATCTGCTCTGCAGGTCCCCAGCCCAGACGTAATTCCCTTCAGGCAAGCTCTGACTGCCTGGGTAGGGTTTTTAAATAGACTGCTGTACTTCACTGCTTTAAATGTGTTTTTGATGTTGCTTTGGGTAACCGTCTTTTAGTGTGGCATCTGTTTGATCCTTTATTTAGTCTTTGCATCCTTGCAGCTTTTAGCTCAAAAAGGTTGTCTTTTAATGATGTAAGCCGCCTTGGGTCCTTTTCAAGGGCAACGGCAGGGTAAAAAAAATATTTCAAATAAATCATTCTGAATATATTGTAGAACTTCTGCTAGCAGCAGTCAGCATGCATGTTTAATTATGTGCTTAGCTTTGGTGATGAGACACTAGCATGGTGTTCTCCATGAAAGGGTGCAGATGTAATAAAACAGGGACACGTCCCAGAAAACTATTCTGTTACTCATTACGGAAGAGGTTTGTGGGGGGAAGAGAGTTGAGAATAAATTTCATGAGCTCAGGTACTGAAAAAAGGCAGACCTTGGCTCCCTAGAAGAGTTCGGAGATACAGGTATTTAAGTTTTAGTAGTTTTTATTTCCACCAGGTCTTTTGTATGGGTAATGAGCCTTAATTGTCTATGCATGGCCCCCAGGTCAGCATTACTGGAAAAATCCCGGATCCCTCCCACATATTGGGTGGACTGTCACTGTGGTGTGGGTACATAGCAGTAAGGATGATGATGAAGTCCTTATAATAAAGAAATCTTGACGTGTTGACCGTGAAAGTTCTGGCTCTACACTGTTGCTCTCTGGTGATATGATGTGGAGGGTCATTTATGCTTGGTTGTCTGGGAATAATCAGTAAATAGCGACTGGAGAGTGGAGGCCAATTGGAATTTCCCAGTGGAAAGTGTTGGAAAGCTTGTGTGTGTGTGTTGTGGGGGAGTTGACTTCCAACAGCACTCACCACATATTTATTATGCCATAAAGTAGGCACGTATGTACCATGTGTATGGAAGGTGAACTAGCAAGGATTTCTCTGTGGACTAGTGACTTTTGTGGGCTTATCTTCAAGGCCAGAATGTGCGCTGTCTCCTTTAGTTTGCAAGTTAATTCAGTGACTTCATGTTAACAGCCGATGTGGTGTGGTCAGTGGGCAATTTGGACAGAGTGGTGGATTGAGTCGTAGTCTGTAACTTGGAAGATCTGGGTTCTAATCACTGTAGAGCCATGAAACTGAAACTGTTGTAAAGAGACAATCATCATAATTGCTGTCATTTTAGAAGAGCAGAGCTGGAAGGGACCAAGACGAAAGCCAAGGAGTCATTTTATATGACAGTTAAAATGTAAATATTTATTGGACCACAAGTACCATATTTTTCTGTGTATAAGATGCCCCCATGTATAAGACTCCCCCCACTTTTCTAATCCAAAATTAAGAAATCTAAGTGGGGCTTAGCAAGTGCAGGGGGAAAGGGATCAAAGCGCTGCAGGATCGCTTTGATCGCTGCTTTCCCCTCCACTTGTTTTTGTTCTCTCATCAGCTTATTTCCATATATAATACGACCCTCAATTTTTAGTCTAAAGATTTTAGACAAAAGTATAGTCTTATACATGGAAAAATATGATACTTTTTTTCTCTTACCATTGACCTACTTCAGAAGAAATGTAAAGGTGTTAGGTTTTATATGTGATACTTTTTTCTCTTACCATTGACCTGCTTCGGAAGAAATGTAAAGGTGTTAGGTTTTATATCCTCTGTCTGTCTGTCTGTCTGTCTCTCTCTCTCTCTTTCACACTGGTTATTCTATTTATTGCTAACCTGGAAGCGCTACAAGCTCTTTTGGGACAAAGAGAATCAAGATTGACTAGGATTTTCCACTTCACTGTTTAGCATCCTTTTGGGCCAGCGCTGTTTTCCTACGGATTTCCTATGGATTATACTCCGATTCAGTGTCTGTACTTAAAAATATTGGGTGCGGGAGACTGCTTGTTTAAACTCGGAGGTTTCATTGGTGTTCCTGTAGGTACTTAAGCCTTTGTTCGGCTGACATGTCAGCAGCTGTGTTCAGGAATGCAGGGGAGAACTGCTGATTTAAGATGGGAAGCTTGGCCCCTGGCATTATGTTTTTTAATCCTGGGAATTAACTGGATGGAGCCATGGAATATTTTACGGCTTCCAGTGTTGGCCCTTCTGTTTTGTTTTCTGGGCACCATACCTAGAACGGGGTTCAGCCATGGCTTCGCAGCTTGAGACCTTGCTGAAGAAGACCCTGTGAAGGCTACGCAGGTGGATTTAAATGACCGGCTGGGTTCGTACGCTTTCCGATAGACACCCCACCCCCAGTGTTAGTTGCTTCGTGGCGACAAAAGCACATCAACTCAGGCCGGGTTCTGTTGTTTTGCTGTTTTGTTCCTTCGCTATTATTATTATTATTTTTGGTGCAGCAGGAACACGGCTGGAGCGTGCTCATGTTTTCCCCTGGGGAACTTTTCCTTAAAATGCCTTTTAACAGGGCAGAGGGTGTGCCTTTTCCTTTTCAATCCATAGCGCTCCCGAAGTAGTTGGTAAGAAAGGTGATCTGTAACTCTGTCCCCATATGCAACGGCTTGCGATGCAGCCCTAGGCAAACAAAACATTTGCTGGCGTACACCTAGGTGAGTCACTTCCAGCCTAGGGAGAGAGAGAAACAAATGTTTGTCAAAGCGTTAAATGCCTTGTCAGCTGGGAAGGATGCTTGATCACCACGGCCGACTAGGCGGAGATAGTCTAAGTCATTGGTGAAAACCCCCAGAGGAGGGGGACCTTGGGGTCCCCAGAGGTTCTTGGACTACAACTCCCAGAAGCCTTCACCCCTCACTGTGCTGGCTGGGATTTCTGGGAGTTGTAGTCCAAGAACCTCAGGGGGACCACGGTCTTCGGTGATTTCCCTACAGGTGATTGTGTTTCCTTGAACTGTGTATTGATGTATAGCATGCATACCTTTTTGCTCTCCTTGCAAAGACTGTCAGAATGGCTTACATAGCCAGAAAGCCCGAACCAGGTCTTCTGTGCGGAAACACAGCCCCCCCCCGACTTAAGGGTGGGGTATCTGGCTGTTGTTCTTTCACCCCAGCCCCCAGAAGCCTTGACCGTTGTCCGTGCTAACTAGGGCTTCTGGGAGGAGCTGTCCAAGAACATTGAGAGGACCACCGTCCTCAAAAGACAACAGAACAGACGTGATCAAGAGAAAAGATGCAGAGGGGAAAAGGGAACAAGGATGAGTAGGCATAGGTTTTGAATGTGCTACTCTAATGAACAGATTTAGTGCTGTTCATAATACGCTGGCTAGATAGTTAATTAGTTTATGTCTCTGGCTGCAGAGCCAGAGGTTGGGAGTTCGATTCCCCCACTGGGAGAAGAGCCAGCCTGGGTGGCCTTGGGCCAGCTGCGCCGTCTCCAGGGCGCCCTCTGGAGGAAGGGAAGGGGAGAAACACCTCTGAGTCAGAATTCACTTGACGGCTCGTGGTTGTTGTTATTCATGTTGCAACGCAGTCAGACGTTGTTAAATCTTCTCCTCACGACCACCTAGAATCAAGGCAGTCCAAGGCGAGGGTGAGCCAAAAACTGCTGATTTGCCAGGTGATCAAGTCAGGTGCTCTGGCTTCTTATTTCTCCCTCTTCATCATCACAGCAGAGGCTGTTGCTGAATGGGAGAGGAAAAACCCGCTCCAACTAGACCTTAATTTATAAACCAAGTGTTTGGCTGCAAAGAAAAAAAATCCCAATAGCCTGCTGTTGGGAAGGACAGTCAGCTCTGTGATGTCCCTTTGGAAGTATATTTGATGGAGCCGAGTTGATAAAACGGCTGTAAAGGAGAAGCAGTCGCTTTCCTTGGTCAGGGCAGAGAGTTAAAACCATGCCATCTTCCGTTGATAAACGAGATAATTGATAAATCATGTTGAAGTTAAGTGGTGGCTTATAGATCGGGCAGGGCACTGGGGAGACGTTGCCAATTCAGGGAGCTCGGCCAGCGCCTGCCTTTTAAACTATAAAACATTATGGCCATAAAACCTTTCTGGTAACCGTATGCAGGAAGTTACTGTTGATTTTGGAGCTGTTTATGGGGTTTCCGGGGGTGGAATATTGCTTAAACCTGACCGCACTTGTGTTATCCGTAGAACTCCGTCTGCAAAAGATGGAAGATGTGCATTTGAGCAGATGTTGCAGCGAAGCCTGGATGAGTTTGTGCTCTACCTGTCTGGAGCAGCCTTCAAAATTCTGGGTATTCTGGGATGTAAAACGCGGTCTCGCAACCTCTACTTTGTTCCGTAAAACCGGATGAGATGCTTAGGAGGGACTTTCAAATGGAGATCTGTCGATGGTGGTGCCTTTTTCCTCTGGCAAACAGAGATGGGTGTTTTTGCCATGTGCCGGCTCTTAGTGTCTGGGTACACGTTCCCCACCTATCACAACCAGTGAGTTAGGCAGTGCTGTCAGCTACGTGCCTGAAGGCAGTCGGGAGCCCTTCCCCAGCTCCGTCTTCCCTGCTTGAAATAGATGTAACTAAAGCGGACAAAGGATAAGTAGTAAGTTAAAGGGGAAGATAAAGAGGAGGGCAACGTGCCAT